GACCCCTTTGGCAGTCGAACGACCCTTTCACAGGGGTCGCCTAAGACCATCCTGCATATCAGATATTTACATTACGATTCATCACAGTAGCAACATTACAGTTATGAAGTAGCAACGAAAATAATTTTATGGTTGGGTCACAACATGAGGAACTGTATTTCAAGGGCCAGAAGGTTGAGAACCACTGTTCTAAAGGCTCTCCCAAATCAATCTACATGCCTCCCTGCTCACTGTCCCGCACTGGTAGGAGTCACACACCTCGCCTCGCCTGGAGGACTGCAGCAGCCTCCTGCCTGGTCCCTCCCTGCCTCTCTCTTGCCCCAGAGCATTCGTCCCCTGAATGCCCCAGAGTTCACTTCTGCCACCTCCTGAGAACAACATCCCACAGGTCAGAGCCTCGAGACCTTATTACCACCTGGTCCAACCCAGCTGCATGGCCTTGGGCAAGTCACTTCCCCTCTTTGGGGCTGAGAACCCCAGACCTGGGCTGAGAAAGGAGGGAGGGCAAAGCAATCTCTAGGATATAGAGCCCCATGCAGTACCTGACCACCTGCCAGTCCTCTCCCTTCAGGAAGAATGTGTTTAAAGGAGCATTTGCTGGCAAGATCAGGGAAAGGAAAGGCAAAGAAAGCAGACTCAGAGGAGGAGAAGGGCTCCAGGACACGCTGCCCATACGGACGGATGTCTGAACTGGATGAGGCTGGGCTATGAGCACGTCAAGGGCAGAGACGGTACCCAGTACTCACCTCTCTGTTCTCCACACCCAGCACAGAGGAGGCACCGATGCCTGAAATGAATTGGCTGGGACATCCTAGCCATTTCACTCTATCGGGGCAAAGTGGCTCCTCGCCTCGCTCTCAGGGCACCTGGGCACCCCGACTTGGACACACACACTCTAGACTGGCCCGTGCCCTGGAGAAACCAGCCTTTCCGCAGACGCACCAGAGGCCGGGCAGCCAAGGGGAAAAGAGGACGGTAACAGCCAGCAGCGTGTGGAACTGCCTCCGCCCTCATCATACGATAGCACCTTCCCCTGGCAATGCTCCCCCTTTTCTGTCCCCATCCCAACCTCTGCAGCAGCCAGGGTGGCATTCTGGGGGCAACAGAAGCAAAGAAGGTCACCAGGTAAGCCAGCAGACATATTTCCCTTTGTCCCAAGGAGGCTCCTCTCTCTTCCTCCTGCCGCAGCCCCACACAGACAGCCTTTGTGATCAGCAGCTTCTTCCGGGGACAGAGGGGCAAGGGAGCAGACGCTTAATGATTTTCTGCTGAAAGTTCCTTGGCCTGAAGGGCTGGGATGACACAGCCCTGGACTCAGCCCCTCCAACTTAGCTGGGGTGGTGGGCCAGCCCCAAGCTCTGTCCCCAGGCACAGAGGCCTGTGCGAGGCCTCCTACCAGGAACACCCTTCGCCAATGCCCTCCAAGCCCAGCTCCAGGCTCTCAATTGGGGGTTGTTTTAAAGATTAAATGAGATAATAGGTGAAAAAGGCTCTGGAACACAGCACGCTGGTAATTATGATCATCTTCCGACTCGTGCTTGTTTAATGTCATTGTTCCCATCTGCTCCATGGCCGTGAGCCCTCGCCGGCTCTGTGCACCACGGCATCCTCACGCCTCGGAGAGCATCTGACCCATCACTGATACTTAGTATGCGTTTGTTAAACAACAGAATGAGCATCACAGCATCCCTGGAACCCCAACCTCACTCTGGGAGAACCTCAATCCGGGAGCCCAGCACAGAGGCCCGCCTACCCCCAGAACTACAGCTGGAGCAGAAAGCCAAGGCTGCCACCTGCCTCCCAGAGATGCCATCTATTATCATCATCATCATCTCCTCCTCCCCCTCCTCCTCCTCCCCCTCCTCCTCCCCCTCCCCCTCCCCCTCCCCCTCCTCCTCTTCTCCGAGCCCTTGCTTTTCTCTCAGCCCACCCCCACAGGCCTGAGCACCTGCTCATTTCCCGGAGCAGCAGGATCCCGGTAATGACCTCTGATAAGCATCTTTTAATAAACCCTGTAGCTGGATCTGTCATCCAGGGCCTCTAGTCTCCCGCTCACATCCTGTCCCCACCCCTACCCCATCTCGGCCCACTACTTGGGCTGGCCCATTAGTGCTCTGGTCTCACCAGGCAGGCCCCCAGGGCCTCTGGGCTCTGGCTTGCTGGAAAATGGCCAACAGGCAGCCCAGGCTATTCCACAAGCCAGACCCTCCTCATGAGCCTGGGTTCTCAGTAGCCTGGCCTGGCTCTTCCTGCGCCACCCAGCCTGACCACTGGCCAGCCCACTTCTCTCCGTCCCTGCAGGCAGGTTTCCCAGGTGTTACCAAGGAGACCACTTGCACCCTGCCCAGGGTTGCCAAAGCAACCTGTTTCAGTGAGAAGCGGCCCCACATCCTCTAGCTCCTGGGTGTGCAGGATCAGGGATGAGAGAGTCACCAACCAACAGGAAGTAAGTCCAGGCAACTGGTACACCAGATGGAGGTATGCCCTGGGCAGGGACCAGCCCCTGCCTGCCTTCCTCCCCAGTCTTCCTCCTCTGTTACCACTCTTGTTCATCCTGCCTCCATCTTGAGTTCTGTGATTTGGAGCCAATGTCTGGGCCTCAATGTGCACATCTTGTCAACGTGCACATCTTGGAAGTGGGCACATACTCTCTCAGACAGTCATATGCAGAAATTCCCCCCAAGACCAATTTTCTCCTTTGTGGGCTTTGGTGTCCTGGGTAGAAATCTCAGCTCTGCCCTTTCCTAGTTCAGTGTTTCTGGATAAATTTTTAAAACCGATTAGTCTCAATTTTCTCACCTATAAAATGGGAATAATAATACAGTGGGGCCTTGACTTACGAGTTTAATTCGTTCCATGACGGAGCTCGTAACTCAAATTACTCGTATGTCAAATCAAAAGTGAACGAGTGAGACACGTGATGCTGGGCTGATGTTGTGGCGTTCACTGTGACGTTCGCTGCGCCAACTAGCGGTGGGGTATCTGAAGCTGGCTCATAACCCGAATTTTAGCTCGCAACTCGAAGCAAAAAATAGGCCGAGAGATGGCTCGTATCTCGAAAAACTCGTTAGTCGGGACACTCGTAAGTCAAGGCCCCACTGTACCTACCTCAAATTAATTAGGAGATTAAATGAATTAACCTACATGAATGTACTTAGCATAGTTACTAGGATCAGGATTTGGACTCCTGAAAAATGCTTTTTCTTTCTGATGAGCAATGGCCCTGCTGACCATGGCCATAAGTCAGAATGCTTCAGATTTACCCATGGGATCCCTAGATGAGGCTGTCGGCTTGGCTGCCCTACCTAGCCCTTTTAGCTAGGCCTACAACAGAAGGCCTGCAGCCTCCATTAACTTCCTAGCAGCCCAAGGTGCTTCATTCCCTCCATCCCTCAGCCTGTATTTTTGCTGCTGTTGCTGCTATTTAAATGAAATCACTATACCCTTCTGCTCAAAAGCCATCCATGGCTCCCACTCCTACATGATAAAGTCTAAACTATTCATCCTCATACCCGAGGCCCTCCAAGATCTGGTCCCTGCAACCTTCAGAGACTGACCTGTTCATCTCCCCACTGAGGACCCACACCCCAGGCAAGAGGAGTTGCTCACTGTCCCTGCACGCACCTTGCATTGTCCTGCCTCTCTGCCCTTGCAGCTCCATTCCAAACCTTCCCTATTCAACTCCAGGCCCCCCTCCTCTGAGATGCCTGATCTCATCTACTCCAAGAGTGACAGAGTATGTCTGTTCTGAGGCCCCACAGCCTTGACAGTTCTCAGACCTTGGGGTATATCAGAATGACCTGGGGATCTTGTTAAACATGCAGGCTTGGGGGCCCCATCCACAAAATATTCTGAGACAGTGGGCCTGGCCTGGGGCCTGGGGCCCTGCATTTTAGACGTGCTTCCAGCTGATGCTGGAGTTGATACAGGCAGTAGAAACACCTCACTTTGAGAAACACTGGCCCAAAGAAACAGAAAGTTCCCTTGAAAGTGTCTGATAACTGGTTGACAGGTGTACATGGCTAGAAACGCTGCAGGGAGGTGTAAGGGGCAGGGGCTGGGAAGGAGCAGCATAAACTCCACGGTACTCCCTGTCCCTCCTCTGGGGCTCTGTCCAGAGACCTGGAGATTGTTCCCCAGTTTCTTTCTCACAATGAAAGACAGAGCTCACTAAGAATGAATACTACAGGGGCAGGATAGGGTATAGGGTGGAGCAAAAGGACGCTTACAGTTGTAAGTAGGTGAAACACAGAGTTTATTCTTGTATTATTATGTATTAAATCCCAGCTCCATCGGCTACTAACTGTGTAGTCTAGGACAAGTTACTTAACCTCTCTGAGCCTCTCTTTCCCCATCTATAAAATGCTGACAATTGCCCTAACCGGTTTGGCTCAGTGGATAGAGCGTCGGCCTGCAGACTGAAAGGTCCCAGGTTTGATTCCGGCCAAGGGCATGTACCTTGGTTGCGGGCACATCCCCAGTAGGGGGTGTGCAAGAGGCAGCTGATCGATGTTTCTCTCCCATCGATGTTTCTAACTCTCTATCCCTCTCCCTTCCTCTCTGTAAAAAATCAATAAAATATATTTTTTAAAAAATGCTGACAATGATACCTCCCCCAGCAGGTTGTCAGAAGGATATTAATGCAAATAATCTATATTTAGTACATGGCACACAGTAGCTGCCCAATACACAGTAGCTATAAACTATTATTGTTATGATTAACAATACAGGGTTCAAAGGTCAGACTGAACTAAAAACCAAGGCTTTCAAAATAGATGCTAAGCGTTCAACTTGTGGCTGTCTCAGCCCAGACTCTCTGAAGTCTGGGGTAGCAGAAGGGGCCCCCAGCCCCCTCTCGCAGGTCTGTCTGCTGCATTGCTGGGGGTGGAGAGCTGGATGAGCTCGCCTAACCGGTAAGCGTCATGACAACCAAGGAAGGAGCCCAGACAAGGGCTGTGGAAATATCTATGGGTTGTCCAAAGAAAGGAGGCCTTGATTACCTGGTTATAACAATCTTGGTCGTAACCTCGAAGGCTGTGGACAGGAGAGGGGCATGATAAAAGGAGCACCTTAGGCAGATCACTCCGGCAGCATCAAAGGAGGAGCTGAAGGCAGAAAGGCCAGCTATTGCAACATTTGGGATGAGGACACAGACCAGGGAAGTGGCAGTGAGAATGTGAAGGCTGGCGAATGGCTAAGACCTTGTCCTGAGAGGATGCACCTGACCCGCACCCTCAGAGAGCAGTGAGGAAGTTCAGGGACTGCAGACAAGTTCATGTGGCTCACTCTGGCCCACCTGGAAGAACCCAGGCTCCTCGGCCAGCTGACCTGAGAGGCCCCTCTGCTGGCCAGGAGCTTCCGCCCACATGGAAAAAAGACTCTGGAAACAACAGGTGTCTTGCTGGTGTCACACCCAGCCAAAGCTGGAGAGGGACAATCTCCCTGTGGCTGTTACAACCAGTAGCTTTGTGAAATGTCCAATTCAAAAAACATCAGCTTTGAAGAGATGGAAGGTATATACCCTAAAGAACTGAAAACAGGTGTTCAAACAAAGACTGGTGCACACATCTCCATAGCAGCAAAATTTACAATAACCGAAAGGTAGAAACAACTCCAGTGTCTGTCAACGGACAAGTGGACAAACAAAAGGTGGCATAGCTACACAATGGAATGCTATTCAGCCACAAAAAGGAAAGAGACATGTTACAACATGGATGAACCTTGAAAACATTATGCTCAGTGAAAGAAGCCAGACACAAAAGGACAAATACAGGATGATTTCCATTTATTTGAAATGTCCAGAATTGGCAAATCCACAGAGACAGAAAGTGGTTGCCAAGGATACAGGGGAGGGGATAAGGAAGAGTGACTGCTTATTGGGTACATGCTTTCCTTTTGGGGTGATAACAATGTTCTGGAACTGGATAGAGGTAGTGGTTGCTCAACACTGTAAATGTCCTAAATGCCATGGAATTTTACACTTTAAAATGTTCAAATGGTGAATTTTCTGTTACGTGAATTTTACCATAATAAAAGAAAAAGATGGGAGGTGGCCCATCCAGTCCCCAGTTATGGGTGACCACTGGGACTGAGGAGCCCTTCTAGTTACCATTCCCCCAACACTTAGCACCAAGCAGACAGGCACTCGGAAAGTGCTGGGGAAGGAGAAAGACCTTTATTCTCTGTATTTGTCTCCATGAAGCATGAACCCCCTACCTAGTCACCCTATGCCCATCACTGAGAATATATACAAACAAGTACTCATTTCCACCTCCAAGCCTTTGCTGTATCTCCCTTTCCCTACTCCTTCCCACACCTAGGACTCCCACTGCACTCCTTGCCATCTACCCAACTTCTGCAAGTTCCCTCCGTGTCCAGCTCAAACCCTTCCTGATCTCCCATTTCTGACCTCTGCCCACACACATCTGGCATTTCAACAGTCCACCCAGCCCTTGATGGCATTCTCCCCTCAGCCTTGCCTTTTCAAGTAGATCTCCGGCCTGTGAATGCACAGGGATCTCAGGAGCATTCAGCGCCTCGTAACTGTTGGTCCTAAGCCCAGAGCTATACCTTGGACCTCTCTCCTGGACACTCCTACGCCAACACTGTTCGGTTCCCAGTGGGAATAGCCAGAAGTAGAATGAGGTCAGTGTGCCTCCAGGAAGAGGACCAAAGTCTACCACCCAACAGGTCATGACCAACGAGCTTTGTTTCATGTCAGCCTGACAGCCAGACCAATGAGTCCCGGGGTCCCTATCACACCAGGCTCCTTGCAGCTGTTTTTATTAAAATGTTGAGAAATCAATAGAGATTGCAATTATAGGAGAGAGAGAAATCAAGAGTTCCCTGCCCCCAGCAAATTTCTGGATGGACACGGCTAAGAAGTAGAGCTGAGGTCTGGGTGAATACAAAAAGAATTCCAGCAGAACTCTGGGTGGACTATCTTAGCATCGAAACCAGTGTCAAAGCCAACAACAATAAAAGTGGAATGGAATTCTAGATGACCATTGAGATAACACAGAAGACACCTAGGTCAGTGCTGATACAGTTACCAGTAGAAGGGAATTGGAGTGAACACTAAAACAATCACAGAATGGAGCTGATGGCTCTATTGGGGTGGAGAGAAGTCAGGCTGGGAAGGAGGGTCAGTAAACCCTGGATGAAGGGTGGAGGGCATGCTCTAATCCTTTACCTCAGGCTTAGAAGAAGCAGAATAAAAATCGCATGACCACCTCCAGCAGGTGTGTGGGAGGGGCACGGGAGAGTGGATTCTGGTAGATCAAGCCTGAAGGGAGATGGGCAAGGAGAGGGAGACGGCTGGGAAAGCATTTCTCCACCATTTACTCTCATGGAAGAACTGATCCCTGCAAACCAAGGAGGCAGCAGCAGGAGGTTTTTCCAAGTCAGATAAATGGGAAGTCAGGCAGAGGAGTAAGTTAGGTTGGGATCCAGGAGGTGAGAGGGCCTCAGACCTTCTTCCCGGCCACTCCCTCCCTTGCCAAGACCCCGGCCATAAAGACCTCACATCCCCACAATCCCAAACTTCAGGTAAAAGAGGTGCAATTATCAAGGCCCTCTCTGGGCTTCCCTAGGGTCAAGGATGGAGCAGGACCTTTTGGGGGACATGTTGTGAACATTAAAGCACTGAGTCAGGTCACTGGCCCCCAGCTAACTCCTTCCCTTGAAGGACTTAGCCTGGCTTTGCCACCTTCTCTTGACTGATTCACTGAGTAACTGGGCAAATCACTATCCTTTTCCTTTTCATTCTTCTCACTTGTCACTGAACTGGATGATGTCCACAGTTTCCTCCATCATTAGGAATCTGTTTCCCATGCTCAGAAACAATTTTTATACATGCTAATACTTACAGCTTATTTCTGATTATTTAAAAATAATACTTGCTTATTTCAGGAATGAGCAAAATATTGAAAATGAAAGAAAATATATGATCCCATTACCTAGAGGAAACCATTGCTAACCCTTGGAGACATTCTTTCTATGGCTGGTATTTTGGCATTCGTATCTTTTTCTGTAACAAAACTGGGATCTTACAGTCTATACAACTTTGTATCCTGCCTTTTCAACTGTCATGCTGCTGTGAGCATTTTCCCAAGTTATGAAATATTCTTCAAAAATACAATTGTAAAGACTGCAAAATACTCCGCCAAGAGAATATACTATGACCACAGGACTGTTAGGTTGTTTTCCTAATATAAATAACACTGCCATGAACATCCTAGCCTGGTGCATGAACACCTGCCAGCATCTCCATTTCCTTAGGATCAGTTCCTCTAGGTGGAATCACAAGGCCAACAAATGTGATATTTTAAAAGGTGTTGACATGTACCACCATAGGAATTTCCGGAAAGACACAACAAGCCCACTGATTTTCCCAAGCCGAGTGAGAGCTGAAGTTCTGAAAGGGTTGGAATTAGAATGCAGGACAGTGGTCCCGTCTCTCCTCCTCTCCCCTAGTCTTGAAGGTTAACTGTCCAGCAAAAAAGAGGACAGAATTCCAAGTCAGAGACAGAGGTCTGCAGCCTAACTCTGCCTCTCCCTGGTTTGGGGAACCTGAAATAAGCATCGGTTCGCCTCGCCTAAACTGTAAAATGTGTCTCATTGTTGCTGCTCACACCCCAGAGCAGTTTCCTTGCTTCAGTGAAAGTTCTTCGCAAACAACAATGCTTTTTGTCAAAGGGCATTATTAGTATCCTTCTCATAACCTGGGGGGCTGAAGAAGTGGGTTGTTCTCTGTGAAAGCCCAAGGGTGTCCCTTCCTGGTTCTTAGTCACCGGACTGCCCAGAACAAGCGCTGGCCAGTTCTGAGAGTAAGAAAGCTTCCTGAAGGGAATCGGTGGGGTCTGAGGACCCAGAGGTCAGAGACAGCACTGGACGCTGCAGGGCCGAGAACTGGGCCCAGGGTCTCCCTGAGAGTGCCGAGTGGGTCCAGGACTCAGAGGGCAAAGACTTTCCTGGTAAACGTTCCTCTGCTTCAAGGTCCCCAGCCCCTCCTTTCTATGGTTCCAACTGAACCTCTGGCCTTTGGGGGAACCAGAAACCAAGCTGATTCCGTGGATGCAAAAAGTCAACAACTGCAGAGGACCCCGGAGGCCAGCAGCTCTGGCTTTTTCTTCCAGGCCGCTATAAATCAGTCCTGGGTCATTAAGACCCTCCAATTGGAAATGCAACTAGTGCTTCCAGCGTGACCTCTCCAGCTCAGGGCAGATGAAAACGGAGACGCTGATGCCTCCCTTGAGAAGCACAGCTGACCAGCCTGAGCATCCTGCCACACTGACCTACCCACCCCAGCAAATGCCCTTCCTCAGCCCATATGCCTCAGCCGGTACGCTCACCAAGCATCACGGCCTGAGGGGACTCCAGTGGCGTTCCCGGTACTGGCATGGAGAACTGCGCAGACCCCGCGGAACGCCATCCTCCGGGGTTTCCACCATCACCACAGGCCGCCCCCACCCCCAGCCCACCTCCACCGCCTAAGAGATGAGTAGGTCCTGTCTCCAAATACGCACAACAGGTGGCACCTGCCCGCCCTCCCTAACTACACATCTTCATCTCCCTGCCCCTCCACCTGCGCCCTAGTCCTCCAGCTGCGCCCGGCCCGGCGGAGCCTTACCTTTGAGGTTTTGGGGGTGGCCCCGCGGCGGCCGGCTCGGGTTTCCTCGGGGCAGAGAGGGGATACTGGAGAAGTTGTTACCCATGGCATCCGGCCCCAGGGGGTTCGGCGCTCGTGGGGGCCAGACGAGGCTGGGCAGGAGCGGAGGCACAGTGCAAGTGTGTGCGCGCGCGCGGGCGCGCGCCGCCGGGGGAGGGCCCTGGTGAGGCTGCGGCCGGGGGCTGGCGGGCTGCTCTTCTCCTCCTTGGCTCTGGGTTCCGCGGTCCTCCGCGGGGCCAGCCCGCCTCGGGGGTCCTCGCGCGAGCCGTCTACCTGCCTGCCATCGCCTGCGGCGGGGGCCGGGGCCGCGGGCAGGCCCCTGGATCGGGGCCCACGGCGCCCGGGGCTCCCCACTTCCTCTGGCTCGCGTTCGGGTTCGGGCTGGCGGGGGGCGGCGCGACGGCTCCCGCGCGCTCCCCCGGGGCCATAGAGTCAGGGCTCCTGGCGCGGAAGCTCAGAGGCTCGGCCTGCCCGGCGGCTCGCGGGCTGGGCGGCTTCGCGGCTGGGCGGCAGGCTTGGTCCCGGCCGCGGGGACGGCCGCTGCGGTGTTGTGCGTGACGTTCTTACCGCCGGGCGGTCTGCATGGAGCGGGGCTCCGGGGAGCGCGGAGAGTGCTGGGCGCTCCCTGGTGGTGGGTCTCCTCTGGCCGCGCTCCAGCGCCGCGCCCCGCCCTCGCCCCCCGCCGTCGCCAGGATTCCCTCGCTCCGGTTGTTATGGTGACAGCTGCGCTGGTGAATGAGCGTCTTAGTGACACGCGCGCGCCCGCTCAGCCAGTTGTGGCTCCAGGGCGCGCCGCTTCCCGGCTGCCCCGAGCTCTTCCTCGGGGCGCTGGGGGGTGACGGGGGTGCCGGGCCCAGGTCGGGGTAAGATATGGGGCAGAGGTGGGGCTCCAGGGCTGGGCTTATCCCTCTCACGGACAGTGGAACGCGGTCTTGAAAAGGAGAACCGGTACAGCAAGAACATTGAGCTCCCAGGTGCCAGGCGCAGTGAGAAAGCTCTAATTTACCGTACCATTTCCCCACACCAGGTACAGGGCCCGGCACATAGTGAAAGCACAAGAAAAATAATTTTTTTAAATGACTGAATGGATGATTGAATACATGAAGTGAGATTAGGAACCCTGGCATTTGACCCTCCAGTCTCAGTCACATCTGAAGGGGCAAGGGCTCAGAACAAGAACCCCAGGCTGTCCAGCTACTGGACACAGTGTTGGGGGCCTTTGGGTGAATACAGACCGGACCAAAGAGACTAGGTTGCAGGCCAAGCTGGGGAAACAGACATCAGGGACAAATCATCAGAGAACCAACTCTGAACTGAGTGGTTCTGTCAGCCATAAGAGCTTGGGAGAGAGGGACCTCTGTGGCCTGGAGCAGTCAGGGGAGGCTTTCTGGAGGAGGAGGCTTCAGCAAGTCTCCTGTTCACTGTGACTCTTCCATCCTGTGACTCAACACTGCTCCCAGGAGGCCTGCAGGAAGGGAAGAGGGAGTCATTCTCCTCCTACCTGTATATGGGACATCTCCCTCTCCCAGTCCATCAGGGGTAGATGAGCCCAGCTCTCCCCGCTTGCCCCCACACCACTCCACCCAGAGAGACTCTGCTTTCCTGCTCCTCTAGGTCACCTCTAGCCCTGAATCAGTGAGGACGTGGGCTGGCAACAGGCATCTCATCCATCCCGTTATGGAAGGTTCTTCCCTCAAGGCTCCATGTGACGGCTCCTCGTTATTCAGACACACCCCCTGACCTTCCCCAGCTAAAGAACCCCGCCGCTCTCCGTCACTTCCCATACCATTCTTCGGCTTCATTTTCTAGAATTAGTTTGAAAGCAGCCCTTCCCCCTTGTTTATGTTCTGCCTCCCGCACTAGAACCTAAGCTCTGTGAGGGCAGGGAGAGAGCAGGTCAACTCCATTCCCCATACCCTCTCCAGACCCTAGGAGAGTGCCTGGCACAGGACAGACTATCAAAAAGTATTTGTGGAATGGATGAATCCCCCTGCTTGCCAGCAGAACTCCACTAAGATCCCTGGGAGGAAAGCCTCTGAACCGAACGGCCCTTTATCTCCCTCCCCTGCCCTCCACCCCACCCTACGGCAGGCATCTCATCCTTAAATGCCTGGGACTCCAGGGGAGCTAGAAATACCCGTGACAGCTGCTCTCTGGGGTCTGGAGGAAAAGACAGCCCCCTCCCCCACCTCCAGCCTCTCAGATGCCCAGGATCATGTGCCCAGCCAGCTGCAGAATGGACATGGCAGGTCAGGGGTGCTGTCTTATTTATGGGCGTATCTTCCCGAGGCTCACTCCTAACCGATGACTCATGCGTCAGAAATCCTTAGGCTCTGAATAGCAGCACGCTCACACATTTGCACACTCACCTCTACACTCTCTTGCACACTCACTTCTACACTAGCCGGTACACACTCTCACGCGCACTCATGTGCCCCAGGAAGTCTGCTGGAATGAGGTCGCTGGGAGTTGCTGCTGGCATCACAATAAATCTGAAGGCTCTGTACAGACGAGACTAATTCCCTTGGAGTGTGTGTGTGAAGTGTGAGGCCCCTGGTAGGATTTGCAGACAGTGGCTGAGGGGAGGCTCAGGCCCTTCCTGGAGTCCCACCCTCCCTTCAGGGAGAAGGAGCTAGTACCTGGGTCAGGGGATGGTAGGGAGTGAGGCCCCCAAGGTAGAGGACTGCAGAAATGTGACAGGCCCACGTGGTCTAAACCTGGAGCTATGGGCAAAGCAAGGGAGAAGGTCACAGAGAAGTGAGAGCCTGAGGAGTCCAGAGGCAGCAACAGGCCCTATAGCTCAGGGCAGCCTGAAACCAGGGGCCCCGAAGGAAGGTGAGAGGCATTAGGGTCCGAGGCAGAGAGCTTAGGACAGGATAGACACTTCCCCTAACCCAAGGGGGTTCAGGAGACCCTGGGAGTATCAACAGGGCTGGGATTTTTTTTTAAATGATTTTAATGATTTTTAGAAAGAGGAAGGGAGAGGGATAGAGAGATAGAAACATCGATGAGAGAGAGGAACATCATCAATTGGCTGCCTCCTACATGCACCCCACTGGGGATTGAGCCCACAACCTGGGCATGTGTCCTGACCGAGAATCGAACCAGTGACCTCTTGGTTCCTGGGTCGACACTCAACTGCTGCGCCACACCAGCTGGGCCAGGGCCGGGATTAGGATGAGGCAAGGGAGGCGCCTCTGGTGTAAGATGTGAGGAGCCCCAGGCCCTCAGGGTCATGCAGGGCCAACCCTGCCCTTGCTCCAGCCTGAGGAGGAGTGCCTCTGCCATGCTGCACAGGGGGAACCTCCCTAGCCTGGCCCTAGCCCTTCCAGGGAGCTATGTACTATGGGAGGGGACACCACTGTCAAGTGTCAACTGGGTGCAAGTCTCTGGCCAGGCCAGACCAGGTCCTAGAAAAGGTGATGTGACTGACTGGGGCCCAGAGAACCCAAGAGTGGCCCCTCTGAGGGGTCCTGTGCCTCAGAAACCCTTTCCTGGCAGGGGCTGTGGTTAGACCCAGCTTAGAGAAGCAAATAACCCAGCACTCTTCTCCCCCCTCATCTTCTACCCCAAACACACACACACACACACACACACGCACACACACTGGGCAGAATCCCAGAGGCCTTCAAGCCATCCCCCAAGGGGGCTGCCAGCAGGCAGGGAAGTGGCCTTCGAGCCCTGAGAGCCCTTCCCAGCCTTATCCTGGAAGGGAGGAGGGGGAAAGGACCTGCCAGGGAGACAGGGGCTGGATGAAGTCACCCTTTTGCTGGCTTCAATGGAAACTATTAATACCCATAAGGTGGTACTCCAGTACCTGTCACCATGGCAACCCCACCTCCCTAGTAGTGTGGATTCTGAAGACGGTGCCTATGGAAGCAGATGAGTGTGAGTGCAACAATGTGTTTGAGTGTGTATACACGTGTGTCCTGGTGTGTACATGTGTGAGTGCTCTGAGCAGTCACACCAGCGTGCAGGGGAGAGAGGACCCCAGCAAGGACCCAGAGAGAACCCACAGGGGCTCCTTCAGCAGCAGCTCCGGCCTCCATTTTTTCTTCTTTCTCCCTCGCTTCTCTCCCTTCTGACTAACTCCATTCATATTCTCTCTCTCTCTCTCTCTCTCTCTCTCTCTCTCTCTCTCTCTCTCTCTCTTTCTCTCTCTCTCCCCCCTCTCTCCCTCTCTTCCTCTTTCCTTTTGTCTTTCTGCCCTTCTCCCTGCCCTTCTCTGCTTCTCTCCACCCTTGTTTGTTTCTGTGTTTCCTGGCTGTCTCTCTTCTCCTTGTTCCTTGCCCTGTATCCTCCGGCTGGTTCACCTCTCTCTTCCTCTTCTTTCTCACTCCCCACAGCACCCAGATCCATTCAAGTCTTGAAGAGTCTCCATATTGATATGAAATATTTGACTAACAGTCTCCTTTCTTCCTTCCCAAGCTCCAAGATGCTAAGCCCAGAACCAGCCACAGGGATGATCCCCCACCAGGCAGGCAAGAGTGGGGTTCATCTGGGCCAAGCTGGACCTCCCCTAAACTTGAGTTCACCCTAGTCAATAGTGTGACACTTCCCTCCATGTCGAGAAACTAACATTAAAACAGCAAACAGCTACAACCATCTCTAGCCATAATACAGGGATCCCCCAACATCCCCAAAGCCCACCCATAGCTATCATGGCATGAGAAAACTTATACAGGGTTTTCCTGCCTGAACTGCAGGGGGTCTCTGGACATATCAAGGGGGAGAGTGCCTGATACTCAATAAATATTTATTCA